AGTTGTAATTGCATTTGTAATGTCAATGAATTGAGCAGATGTTCTCATTGTCCCATGTTTTTCTTAAGCAACTCGATCACTGGTTTAATGTTATTCAAAAACCTGGAACAGTTGATCATTACGTGAGAAGTTCTCGGCACAGAATAAATTTCTAAATTCAACGTTTTTCGTTTCCTTCGCTATAATTCAGCAATCTTCAGTATATTCCCAAAGATCCAGAGATCTTTTTCTGAATTTGGGTGTATGTCCGGCCAGTGTAAAAATGTTATTGTGAATAATCGAGTAAGGCATGCTCGATTGGTCAAGAAAGTCCTCGAGTGGTCTATCAGTTACTTTGCTGGCAGAACGAAATGTGTTCAACTGAATCGTTCAAAAGTGACTGTGAAGCCATTGAAGCAGCTCTCGTTACCTCAGTATTTGTTCTTCACAACATTATAAATAATCTTGTGATAAACATGTTTATGAAATAGAGTGATGCTGCAAGCAACTGTCTTAACTCTAGATGAGCTTCATGCCCACAGCTCAAGCTTTGCTTTGAGCCGGTCACGTTTCCCAGGGCAAACCCCAGTCTAAACCTCGTGGCGAACCTCAACAGAATGCAGGAGTAGGACTGTTCTTAAGGCTAGTGAATAAGTCGGCTTCTTCATACAATACGGTAACTACAAGACTGCTACCGTATGCCGCTTCCTAACCTGAAAAAAACTGAATGTCAAATGTTATGTATTATTTTGAATTATATGAGTTCAAGAATTTATTGCGAAATAAATATTCGTCATAAATGAATAATTAGACAAGAAAATGAAATAAAACCGAATAACATCAAATAATATGAATGAACTCTCATAGCTTATGTAATAAGCGCACAAAATGATATAGACGAGCGATCTGTGGCGATCAGTCCTTTTTCTTCATTAACATAATAAAGTTTGATGTGACCAGATAAAAGCTTTCATTAACGTATTTCAGTGAGTCATTAAGGTATTTTTAATGAAGTTAGACACGTAAATGAAGCTGATAATTTATCAGTTGCACTTCACTTCATAGCATTTCATGTCTTCTCGGCGATAGCCATCTTTTACAAGCGTTTTCGGTCTGTCTCTAGTCTGAATCGTATTTCTTCAACATTTCTTTCGACATTCATCATCCGTCCTGTCTTTTTGCATTGTTGTGTTATGCATGTTTAAGAGCATTTGTGGTCGTGAAGAAATGTTTTATGACTTGCGTTTGATTACGTTTGACATTTTACTGCCTACGTTTAATTATTGATAGGGATCATAGGATTTCATTCATTACAATGACTATGAAGGAATTTTGTGTTGTTTGATAGAATATTTCTGAATGCACGTATTGATTATGAAATTGAGTGTTTCGGAAGCGCGTTGTTGAATCGGTGGCTGAAGGGTGGTGAAAACTTTTTGAATTTGAATTTCAGAATGGAAAATGGTATATATATTGAAGAAGCATTGTTGGATGTGCTGAAAGAAACCGATCTGCTCATTTTCGAACGGAAACTATGCGTTGAATTACAGCTGATGCGTCTCGAGCATTTTGATCATGTCACCGATGACGAGTTGAAGGTTAGTTTTAATTCTACTCGAATGGATTTTAGTCATATTTTGTGTGACGCTGAATGCTTTGTAACAATGAGCACCAACAAGGAGAATTGAGAATGCAATTCATTCCATATGTGTATGAAGAAAAAATTTAATGCTTTACATTTTTGCGTGGAATTTCATGTTCCATGTTCATAATACATTATATTTTAAATCTGAATGCTCATCTTTTCCCGGGAAGTTTCATGTCTCTCTGAGAATAATTATCTTGAATTACTTGATTGTGTGTTACAAAGGATTTTTCATAAACAGTGCATTGCTTCGGAATTTTATAGCACTAATAATTTTATCACTGACAAGTAAAGTTCATTATGATATGGATGCTCCAAAGCCTATGAAATTTATAACATGTTTCTAAATCTCAGCCAATTCATCACATATGTTAGCTAAGTTCGTCTAAATTTGTGTGAGCCTTTTTACTAGCTAATTTTGCCATTCTAATCGAAGATTATTAGTTGTTTCTAAAACATCATTTTCCAGTCCTACACGGGTTTATCACAACCGGCCATAAGGCGACTGAGGTCAGCAATAGCCGAGAAGAAGAAAAAGCAAAAGAAAGCAAAAGGTCTATTTTCAACGTTGGGTCGTAAAGAGGATCGTGATAACAAAAATAAAGTGTTCGTTCCATCCACAACTATACCTTCAACGAATCCTGCAGCGCAGACGAGTGAACAAGATGCAACATGCCTGATCACTAAAGATCAGGTAAGCTATTCTTCTTTGCTGGGCAATAAATCAGATTATTGGTTTGGTCGAATTTACCGAGTAGTTTGTTGTTTTGAAAGATCGTAATTAATTGAGAAAGCCGAGGGATTAATAACTGATGAAGGCGAATAATGTTTGAATCTGGATGTGAAAATACAATTGTTTGAATCGTGGAAAGGGAAATATCTTAATGGATTAATCGTAAACAATAAAAAATGAATGATGAGAGTCTCAGGTTTAATTGGATACATTATTCTTTTGCCCGTACATTCATGGCGTAATGACGACAACTATTATTAGCTTGACTAGATGTTATTGTTATGCCTGGATTACCTGGATTAGCCAGGCTATCAAACGTTTGTAACATTGTTGGCCACAATGCGTTTCCATTCGGTCCTTGATCTTGCTTTCCTTTGCCAGGTGTTATCCAATTTCTTTGTAATATCGTCTTTCCATCTTATTGGAGGTCTCCCGAGTGGTCAGTCATTTTATTTCGTTATTGTTATATTTGGGATTATATCGTTTGATTGATAAGCCGAATAAAATAGATCAAATTAATGGAACGACTTGGCGAAGGTTCGTTTGCGATCGTGAAACGAGCCATTTGGACACGGAGTGATGGCACGAAAGTGGACGTTGCGGTTAAAATCCTACGAGACGCAACCGCGGAGGTGATTGAAGATTTACAGACCGAAGTGAATAACATGCAAAAACTGCAACATCCTTATTTGATNTTTTTCACATCAGGTTGTTGGCAATGTTATGTATTGTGTAAAGTTTAACATTTCTGTGATAAACTCTTTAGTTTTCTATGATAAGTTCATTTCTAGGCAATGCTATTAAAGTTTAGCTCTGAGCGACGTAACCATAAACTATTTTCAAGAGTATCATTCTAACTTTATATTAATTTTGATAGTGTTCTATGAAAAATTCATTGATGACATTAGTTATACT